AAGATAGGGAGAGGGACTCAACATGAGATTTTATTGCTATAGAAAACTTCTGATGGGGAAGATAACTCTATCAATGCAGATCAACATCTGCCCTGCAACTTAGAATCTCAAAGAGTTTTCTGAGTTACTAAGAACATAAATGACTTGCTCAGGGTACCACAGCTCTTATGAATCAAAGGTAGGATTTCAACTCAGTTCTTTCTGACGCTGAGGCTAACTCTCTATCCATTGCACCACACTGCCTCATGACATATGAGGGAAACCCAGTAAATAAGGACAATTTTCATTCTCGCAAGCATTATTTAACCATGATGCATACTTTTAATATAATATTTTATTTTTCCCAAAATTGCATGTTAAAGCAATTTGTTATTTTTTTTTATTTTGAGTTCCAAATTCTCTCTTCCCCCTTCCCCCCGAGATGGTAAGCAATTTGATATATGTTATCCATGTGCAACATGATGTATATTTGTTCATTGGTTTTATTATTATGTTGTCAGAAGATGTGATATGGATTATTTCTGGAAACAATTGGCATCATTTTTGGTCATGTTTCTGAAATAAAGTAGTATAGTAGATAGTAGTACAGTAGTATAGTAGATAGAAGATATACTTATATCTGTTTTGACTATTAGCTACTCTGCATCTCTTAAGTGGGGTGGGGGGCAGTTAGGTGACACAGTGGATAGAGTGTAGGGTCTAGAGTGGGTCTAGAGTCAGGAAGACTCATCTTCATGAGTTCAAATCTGGCCTCAGACACTTACTAGCTGTGTGACTCTGGGCAAGTCACTTACCCTTGTTTGCCTCAGCTCCTCATCTGTAAAATGAGTTGGAGAAGAAAATGGCAAACCATTCCAGTATCTCTGCCAACAAAACCCCAAATGAGGTCATGGAGAGTAAGACACAACTGAAAAACAACTTAAAAAATGACAACTAATCTCTTAAGTGCATTTCAGTCCAACAAACACTTATTAAGTGGCTACTAGACACACAGCTTTGTTCTGTGGACTGGTAATACAAAAATAAAAACACAGACTTCTCTGCCTTGGAGGAACATAAACTCTTCTAAGTAGGACGTGACACGTACTGAAATAATAATGATAAAAGGTAGAATGTGAAAGGTGCAAAGAACAAATCTAGCCAACGTGCTCTAAAGAATATGTGAGGAAGGAGTGAATCCAGCTGGAAAGATCAGGGAAGCTTCACAGAGGAAGCTGTACCCGAGTAAAGAAGGATTTCAACATCTGGAAATGGGGAAAGAATGTATTCTAGAGCTGGGGAAAGCCTATAGGAGCGCACAGAGGTGAGAAGAGAGTGAAAAAGTTAGTAGGCCAATTGGCTGCAAGGTAGTATGTATGATGAGAGGTAATATAAACTAGGGCTAGAAAGGTAGGTTGGAGTCAAGTTAAAGAAGACCTTCAATGCTAGGCCGAGTGTGTATCTGTCTGTTTTTGGTTTATAGGCATTAAGGAACCTGGAAAGGTTTTGAGCAAAAGAGTGATGTGGGCAGACCTATGTCTTAGATATTTTGATAATCAGTCAGTCAATAAGCACTTATTAAGCACCTACAATGTTCCAGGCACATACATGTTAAGTCACTGGTAGCTGTATAAAAGATAGGCCAACAATAACAGAGACTGGAGACAGGGTCATCTGTTAGGAGGAAATTATCATAACCAAGGGAGATAGGGACTGGACTTGAGATTTCATGGCATAAGGTGAGGTACCATCATCTTCCAGTACAAGGTAGGACCTTCTATACAACTTACAGAGTTAGTTGCCTGGAAAACTGAGAGGTTAAATAACTTGTCTAGATTGACACAGCCAGTGAGTGTCAGAGGTGAGAGGGGCTCCTGGCTTTGAGGCCAGGTCAGTTTTTTTCCACTATACTATGGTATCTTCATAGTGAAGACAAAAAATAACGTAGGCCTGGACTATGAGGTGGCAGGGCTTGAAGAGAAAGGGGTAACCACAGAAGGTGGCATTCTGGGAGAAACTACACACATTCAGTATTATCTTTAGAAAAACAAAATCAGTAGAACTCATACAGACAAACGAATACTGTCCTCTTCAAAATAGTTACTTAAGGAAATTCTATGTTTATTTTAAAAGAACACCACATTGATTAAAATGAGCTGGTTCATCTGCCATGATAGAAAATCACTCCTGTTCATACTTTTATGATTTAACCAACCAACACAACATTATCGAATTTGATAACCTACCTCTAGCAACAGACTTGACCCTGAACGACTTTTGGCTATTTAAAAACAAAACAAAAACCAACAAAAAAAATCTTACCTTCAAGAATAAAGTTAACCCCTTTCCTCCCACTGAAGCACTCAAAATAATGTACTATAGGTTTTGAAAGCAATTTCAAAAGAGGAGTCCTCAAAATGTTCTCATCCATGACAGGGTCTTTGAACTCAATGGACAGAAGGCAGTCCTCCTGAGGAACCTGAAGAAGGCCTGAGGGAAGAGAAGTTGTTCTAGATGCTACCTTGTTAGAGAGTACTCTGCCTCTTTGGGAGACACAGTTATGTTGGTTTTAATGATACATGGTCCTAGGATTTTTAAATATCATTCTGAGTAAATTTTTGTTTTCAAATCTCTCTTTAAGGACATAGAATCCTAGTTCTGACAGCTTTATACAGTGTATTATTTTAGCATTAGACATGGGCATTCCTGAGGGCAAGGGATTAGAACTGACCATAGCTAACACATATTGGTAAAAGGTCTAAATTGAAATCACAGCTTTCCTATTTAGTATGTGTGACTAAGGGCCAGGAGACCATTTTGAGACTCAATCTCCACATCTTTATAAAAGAAATCAGCCATCTCCTTTCCTTAGGATCCCTCCAGGCATTTTCTGCTTACATTCCAACAGCTCTTCTCTTCCATGTAAGCCTTTACATGAGGTCCTAGGGGCAGGTACCAGGGTACCAGGCCTGGAATCAAGAAGACCTCAATTCAAATCTAGCCTCAGATACTGACTAACTGTGTGACTTAGGCAAGTCACTTAATCCTGTTTGCCTCAGTTTCCTCATCTGTAAAATGAGCTGGAGAAGGAAAAGACAAAACAATCTAGTATCTTTGCCAAGAAAACCTCAAATGGGATCACAAAGAGTGGAATACAACTGGAAAAAAAAAAAGACTTAAACAACTGAACAACAAGGCTTTGTTAAAACTAGTTATCTCAATCTCCTCTGTTCTTTGTCTTCCCTCTTAAAACAGCTGCTAAGATCAGTTTATCAGAGACTGCATTGGCCTATGGCCAGCATGAGCCCAGAGCTGTCCTGGAAATTTCTCGAAACTCCAGGAACATGGTTACTCAGAGACGATAAACTCCTTGGCTGTTTTCTAGCCACCTGGAGGCTCAGTGGATAAAGGACTTGGTGCTTTGATACCATGAAGCCATCCCTTTGTTGGATGCTGAACTGGAGGACCTGATGATTCAATGGTGCTTTTAAAAAGAAAGACAAGTTCTGCATCGAGTTCTCCTGAGGCCCTACAGGCACCATCAAGTAACTCAGAGATTTCTTCCAGAAAGGGATAAGGGTTACAGATAGGCAGGGCTGGCCTTTCTCCGCTCCTGAATCATGGCTACCTTTCTCTTAGGCAACTCCAGTAAGGGGACTCCATTAGGGGAGTTTTCACCAGGGCCTCTGGGTACCTCTTTGGATTAATAAATGCTAGTTGACTGACTTTGTGTACTTTCCCTCAAGCAGTTGATTGAGCATCAAGATGGACATCTAGGCTTGGAGGTAGAGAGGCAGAGGGGTCCAGGGTCCATTGAAAAAAGCTGACCGGAAGCAAGGAATTTCTGTCCTGAAGAAATGACCGTGATAAGGGGAGACCAAGGCCCTGACTTGGCCTGCCAAGGAAGCAGTGCAGAGCTGAGGGGAAATAGAAAATGCTTTATCACCAGTCCTGCAAACTTTACTTTCTAATGAAGTTGAAGCATCAGCTTCCCAGCGGATTATAACAATAGTTAGTGGTTGTTGTTGAATTACGTTTTGAAGTTGTTCTGCGGAGGTTTGCTATGAGCTCATCTGTTCAGTATTTCTTTTGCCCATAGGAATAAAATGCCTGTCTTATACCCAAATCATACTGTAAACTGAGTGCTTTATTTACTCCTCCCTTTAGGGAATACCTAGATATGAGTCCCAAAACCTATATTTAAATAATTTCTCCCTGGGCTGTCCTGGAGGGCGATTATGAGAGACAACCCAACTCTTCCCTCATTAGACACCAGGCTCCCCCCAGGCCTGAAACCATCTGCATCTAATGTCTGCAGCCACAGTAGAAAGCGGATGAGGTCAGTCCCCTAAAACCCTGAAACCAGCGTCGGTTCCTTAATGTTGGATTAGAAGCAGAGAGTTTTACGTAATTCCTCTGTGGGCAGAGAGGCAGGCACCCTCTCCTCTACTGCACCTCGTGGGGGCTCTAAGGAACCCTGGGGACAAAATGCAACAACTGCCCTAAGGCTTCGAGCCCGGTCTGCCCGTGGCCAGGCTCAGCACAGCCCTATTCAGCCTGGTAAGAAGCGTGTTTGCCTACAGTGAACCAGCTGGCCCGTTCTGCAGATTCATTCCCAATTTCCGCCCAGCCCAGGAGAGGGGGTGGGGTGCAGCGTCAATGTCTCCAAGTGAGCTCACTACTTTACTTGGCACCAAAGGATAGAGAGAAGGGAGGACGGGAAAGCAAACCGCGGCAGAGGAGCTCAGTCCTCCAGGCCGGGATGAGGAGGGAGTGGCCGGGGGGCCGGCTCCTCCCCCAACCAGCCCTTCCCCGCCCCGCAGGAGGGGGTTTTATAAGGCGGGAGGTTCCGGGTCCTGTGACTCGAGTCAGGTGGTGTGTAGGAAAGTTTCCCGAGAAAGTTGAGCGCTGCAGAGGAAAGTTCTGAGCTCTGGTGGCGCGCGGTGCGCCCGGCGGCAGAGCCGCGTGCGCTCGCGTCCGGATCGGGCAGCAGGGGCTGGGCGCTCCGGGGGGCGGCGGGGATGGCTGGCGGGGCGTCCGGGGAGCCCGGGCCGGGGGCGGCCGCGGGCAGCGCGGTGCCCGAGACCCAGGAGCACCTCTTCAAGGTGCTGGTCATCGGCGAGCTCGGGGTAGGCAAGACGAGCATCATCAAGAGATACGTGCACCAGCTCTTCTCTCAGCACTACCGGGCCACCATCGGCGTGGACTTCGCCCTCAAGGTCCTCAACTGGGACAGCAAGACCCTGGTCCGACTGCAGCTCTGGGATATCGCGGGTAAGGGATGCGGGACGCTCCCGGCCCCCCTCCTGACCTCTCGGCTAACCTCCCACCTCCTGCAGGAAGCCTTCCCCAACCCCTATTAATTGCAGTGCCTCCCCTCTGTTCGTTATTTCTCATTTATCCTGAATATAACTTTCTTTGTTTGCGTGTTATCTCCTCCCTTTGATTGTAAGCTTCACGAGGGCAAGCACTGTCTTTTGCATCTTTTTGTATCCCTAGCGCTTAGCACTGTGCCTGGCACATAGTAGGTGCCCAATAAATGTTAATTGACTGATTATGGATTGACTGGTTGTCCTCAATGCCCCCTCAGGCTTGGAGGCAGCTTCGAGGCGTCAGCTGTTTATTTATTTATTTTATTATTATTATTATTAATTATTTTTTTGCTTAGGCAGTTGGGGTTAAGTGACTTGTCCAGGGTCACACAGCTAGTAAGTGTCAAGGGGGCGTCAGCTGTTATATTGATTAATTGATTGTCCTCAGTCAGTTGGGGGCATCCACTCCGCAGTTGGGCCCAGAAGGGAGTTGTCTGCAGACGTTCACCTTTCCAAGTTTTGAAATTAAAAGACTTTAATTAATGCCTGCCATACTGTATAGAGAGCAGGCCTGGGGTCAGGAAGACCTGGCTTCAAATTCTGAGGAGGGTACTTAAAACCACTTAAGTGACTTAACCTTAGTGGCTTAAGTCAGTTCTCTCTCTGTCTCTCTCTGTGTCTCTGTCTCTATGTTTCTGTCTCTGTCTCTCTGTCTCTGTCTGTCTCTCTGTATCTCTCTGTCTCTGTGTGTGTGTGTCTCTCTGTCTCTCTCTCTCTGTCTGTCTCAGCCCGTGCTGTGTCCACTGCGCCACTTAGCTGCCCCCAACTTAGTTCTCCTTAAGACAAAAGTTGGTGGTGAACTGCTTTGACAAAGTTTTCTCTCTGGGCGTTTGCTGTGCCAAGGAAATCATAAATACAACCCTCCCTCTCCCTTTCCAACAAATAAATAAAACTCAGTGCTAAGTTACTGTCTTCTAGGAGTCTTCCTTCTGTTTGGAAGGCTAATTGGGGAAAAAACAACAAAAAACAAAACCACTGACAACAATAATAACAAGATTGGTAGGGAAGCATAACTCCTTCAGTGTCGTACTGAAACTTCTCTTTTTTTAAATCAGAATCCTCAAATCGCCCTGCTGAGTATACCCATCTTCCTGCCAGGTATGGGGTAGGAGAGGGAAACGTTTAAATAGAGTACTTTAAGATATCTGCTGGCTGGAAATTGACCAATGCAGGACCAGCGGCAAATTGGTAGTCATCTGGCCCTTTTAAATAGCAGTTCTTCACTGACTTAGAAAAAAGGAGCTCATGACAATTGAGTGTTTAATGGGATTTTAAAATGTGCCAGGCAGGAACCCTAGCTGGAGAGAGGGAAATGCATGCAGACTTCCTTGAGGGCTGCAACTTACTTCAATTTTCTTTGTATTCACATTTTCTTTCCCTGTGCAGGATACCCCTAGTAGGACAGTAGGCCCTTAAACCTGTGTTAATTACCAAGCACTGGGATATAAAAGGAGGCAAAAGACAGTTGCTCTCCTCAAGGAGTTGAGCTTATTTGAATTTGTTCAGAGAAACTCTTGGTTGAATAGGTTGATTGGAAAATTTTTTTAAGGAGCTGGAGGCAAGAACAAATAACCTTAAATCTAAGCTAACTCTAAGTCACACAATTTGAACTTATAAGAGTGCTCTAAAGTTTGTGGTGAGCTTTTGGGGATTGAAGTGGTCCAGGAATTCTTTCCAGAATTTTTTTTTTTAACATTTTATATGTGCTCTAATACTTAATAACAACAAAAGGAGGGAACAGGAGATTGATAGAACTGAGTGGGTCCTTATCAGTCAACTAATCCTCCATCTTACATAGAGAAATGAGGAAACTGAGACCCTTACAGGTAATTTCCCCAAGGTTACACAGGTGACTACTGTTAGAACCCCAGGTTCCTGCCCTATTTGGTTTAGGAATCCAAACCTAAAGATACTTTTGTATGAGAAAATATTTTCCTCTTTTTTTCATCTCAGTTATGGAAACGTTCATATAAATTGTGCTTTGCTTAGAGTCAGTGATTAACGTGAAATGAAGTTTCCAGACCTTGGCTCAGCCTTCCTCTCAGTGGCATTTCTGAAGTCATCCGTCGAAAAGTCTTCTTTGTAAGCCAGATATTTCTCTTTTGAAATACTTCCTGTGATTGCACAGAACACTGATGCACAGAACTCGGTAACTGCCTTGTTTCCTAACAAAATCTGTCCTTTTAAATAGTGCTTCAGCATGTGATCATCATTCTTTTTGAGGCCTCTTTTCAGTTGTGGTCTTCTGTCTAAATGGAATTTAAACATGGTGATTGACTCTTTTTTCTCCCAAGGCAGTATGGTTTAAGTGACTTGCCCAGGGTCACTCAGCTAGTAAGTGTCAAGTGTCTGAGAGTGGATTTGAACTCAGGTCCTCCCGACTCCAGGGCCACTGCTCTATCCACTGCACCACCTAGCTGCCCCTATTAAGTTTCATATAAGAGTATATTGCTCATATTTAAGAAGAGATGCATAGGAGGCCTTCAGTAATCCCTCCTTTACTTCAAGATGTCTTCCTCCAGTATTATTAACCTGAAGCAGGGGGAAACTAAATTTTAATCAAACTCCAAATAGAATCTTCCCTACTGTTCTTAAAAACCAATAAACCTGAGCTTTGTTGGAAAGGAAAGTTTTCAACTGTATTGATGTGTAAGTGGAAAAATGGAAATAGCAGATGATATAATTGTTAACATATTGGCTACCATTAGCATGGGGTGTTCTTGCTTTGCCTTGTTCTTACACAAATTAATGAAAAAGCAGTTATTGAAGACCTTCTATTGGCCAGACACTGTGGTAGAGATAAAAAGGATAAAGTGAGACAGTCCCTGTCCTTGAGGTACTTGAATACATTGAGAGTGATGTGTGTGTGTGTGTGTGTGTATGTATATGTATGTGTGTATATATATACTTGTACTTTAAAATGAAGGAGACACACAGTTGTTTGCAAAGTGATGCTAGTGTTACTGGGACCTAACACTTTTTATATTAAATGACTTAACTACAGGCCACTTGAATGGAGTAGTAATAATGGCTCCCAATTATGTAGTTCTTTAGGATCTCAAAGTTTGTTTGTCCTTGGTTCTCTAAGAGGACCAATGATATCAGGGAGGTGATGCCATGACGTGCAAGTGAATTAGATTTGAGTGAGGGAGGGCTGTGCAGTTTTACCAGCCTCACTCTGTCCTCTAGAGCCTTCTGGGTCCAGTCGCAAGATATAGATCAAGACCACTGGAGATACTTTTTACACAAAGGCCCGTCCAGGAGGTTGCTCAAGTACTTTTTCCATGCAGATGAGCTGTGACTTGAGAAGTTGAGTGACTTCCTTGTGGTTATACTCATTGAGTATCAGAGGAAAGGTTTGCACCCATGTCCCCAAATATCCAAGTCCAGAGCTCTTTCCACTACATCAGATTGTACCTATAGAAATCTAGGGACTCTTCATGTTTTGAATTTATGGGCCCAGTGGTGCTTGAAGCTGGGGCCTGATTAATTCCCTCAAAAATAGAAGTGTGGATTGCAAAAGGGTAGGTAGGTGCAGTCTGCCATTAAAACAATGAGTAATCTACGTGTTGTACTGGTTACTGAGCTTCCTACAATCTGTGTGCCTGGGGGCAGGGGGTGGGGGGAGTCTTTAACCAAGTCAAGTGGCAAGAAACGATTTTACCTTTGAAAGCTTTAATGCTGAGTGGCAGGGCTTCAATATTTAATATTTTCTGTAAACTATCAGAGTTGATTAATCTGAAATTCCTGTGAAAAAAGGCAGGAAAGAATTTGGTTAAGTAAAGTTATGAGTCATTCTGATATGAGACCTGTAAATGGTTTCTCACTGCATACAAAAGAGCCTAGATTTTAATGTAAATTTAAATCCCATTTCAGTGTTAGGGTGTTGCTGTACCTTGAGTTGTATTTGAGGTCTTCATTCCCCAAATCTTCATTAAGGTAAAGGCTTCCCCGCTCCATAGGATAGAGAGATTCTTAAGCCTGAAGTACTTTATCTTGAAGGGGGGATGGATGTGAGCTTATAGGAATGCCTGCTAAATTAAGATGGAGTCAGATGTGCTTTATAGACCGAAATGCCCCGTTAATCTTTTCTTGCTGCTTCCTAATTTATAAGAAATAGTATTTAGCATACTGTTCAATCAGTCAACAAGTGTGAGGTGCCAACTATACAAAGACACCCTATGAAACTATACTGAGAGAGAGCACATTCGTATCTAATTATATACAGATTAAAGAGAAAACTTTGTACAAGGGAGAGAGGGCAGTCGGACAGAAGACAGATCACCAATGGCTTTGTGTAGATGCTTGGGCTGTCTTGAAGGAAGTGGGGGATTCTTGTTAGAAGGATGAGGAGGGAAGTACATTCTAGGCAAGGGGAACAGCCAGCATGGCATGGAGATGACAGATGAAAGATTGCCTCTGAGGAAAAGATGACTTGCACTGGACAATGGGAGTAATCTATAATGAGACTGGAAAGAGATAGGGACCAAATTGTGGCGAACTTCCCCAGCAAAACAGAAAAGTTTGTAGTTGATCCTGGTATTAATAGCATTTGTTGAATAGGAGAGTGACCTGGTCAGATCTGTGCATTAGGAAAATCACTTTGACAGCAGAATGGAGAGTGGATTGAAGGGAAGGCTTGAGATACAACATTTGGGAGTCCATTACAGCTATTGTTGTTATTTTGTTGGTTCTTTCTTCTTGAAGAGGACCATGACATCAGGAAGATGATGCCATGACATGCAAGTGAAATGAATTTAAGTGAGGTTGGGCTGGGCAAAGTCACCAGCCTTACTTTCTCCTCTGGAGCCATCTGGGTCCAGGGGCAAGATATATATCAGGATGACTGGAGATGGTCCTGCATTGCAGTAGTCCAGACTGGAAGTATCCTTACCCTAGTAG